CATTTTTATTTTTATTTGTAATATTTTTTTCTACATTTTATTTCGTCTTTCAGTATTTGGTATTACTATCAGCGAAAACTAATCACGGCAACTTATTTTAGTTGTATTAATGTGTTTTAGTAAATCATTTGAGTACCTATTTAGTCGTTAGTGTCGTTACTAGTTCAGGTGCATAAATAAGGTAAGGGCGTTTTCCGCGTGTTTCGAGTTAATCCATTTTTTGCACGCAAAAAGAGTCGCCTCGCCTGTATAAAGATCTTTCTGATTTGTGACTTTTCATGTCTGTTAAAAATATTTTATCTCTGCTTTGCTTACACTGTCACATTTTAATTAAAAGTTGAAGAATTTTCTGAAGACTGGTCCAGTGTACCGTGTAATCTAGGGGCCTAGGAGGTACGCGTTATGCCTAACACCTAACACAATTACTTATTCATGTTTATGTTTTTAAACTGTCAACATCTCAAAAGTGTGATATGCGAAATGAAAATAATTTTAGTCACTATCCCTTACTTTTACATTATCTTGTCCAACGCTGTCTCTTACACTATCTGCATAAAGTGCAGTTTACCTTAAAAACAATATCCTGCTGGCTCTTGAATTTAAAATGAAACTGAAGAGTTTATAAAACCTTTCAAGGCAGTTATTTAAAAAATGTAAAGTATAAGTATTGAAGTGGGAGTAATAGTGATAGCTTGTTTAGTCTTAGTCTACACGCAGTTTTAAATTAAATAAACCGAATTGAAATGTACGTGATAGTTTATGGTTTGTGTAAAAATGTGTAATCAATGTGTAAAGATAGCGTGTGCTTTATATTTGTAAAATCATTACACAGAGTTTAGTTAGAGCATTTATATCTTGTTTTATGGGGTAAGTGAGTCTATAAATAGACACCTAGTTCCAGTCTTCTGCTATTTAGCGAGTATTTTAAGACCGTTGCTGGAGCGTGACAATGAAGATCTTTTATTAATGTTTAATGCGCACAAAACTACGGTCAGAGCTTGCACAACTTCAATGAACACAGAGATATAATATTCCTCTACTTAATTATTTAAGATTGCCTTCCATTAATATTGTTGCAATATTATTTAACTAACGGATAAAATTGTAAGGTTGCCATTAAACTCATTGAACGCGCGCCTGGCCGGCGAAAAAATTATTTTTACTTGTTTGTGTTTTTTCAACGATTGTTACTTTTTCTCCTTTGTCTTGATTTTCTGCCAAAACGAATCTGTAATGTTATTATTTTGAAACAATACAATTTTATATTTTACATCTAATAAGGCCTTTCAATTAATATCTCTCATAGTGAAAGACGTAATTCGTTCAATTTGTGGAATCGTCGAAAATCATCGCTTAGCCTTGTAAGATAAGAATTAACTCCTACACATGTTTTTAAAGTAATTAGAAACCTGTACTTAACAGGCGAACACAACCCAGTGCCTACGCAAATTTTGTAGCGTAGCTATTTTGAGTAAGAGTATCATTTTAACAGTAAGATATCAAATAATTTAATCCAGTACACTAGATAGACTATTTCGTATGTCACAACGTTTATTTGATCGAACAATGTTCACAAAGTCTACAAATTGAGAAACTGTTTGCCCTATTAGAGTAGGCGCACACCGTTGATTTTTAGTTGGCCGATAGTTGTGCCCGATTTTAAATTGTATGAAGAATCGGCCAAATCGAATCGGCGTAGTGTGTGCACTCCCATACATGCCCACTGATGAACTGCCCGACTAAACTATCGGCCGATAAAAAATCAACGGTGTGCGCCTACTCTTAGTCTTACTAACAAAATGGATTATTCCGGATTTTCCGAAGGTCTAATCTAACTGAACGGTTTTTTTTTATCAATCGAACCAATAATTAAGCAGAAACAAAGGCTAAACTTATTAATACGGTCTGTCCCGCTTTAAACCCGTTTACAAAACTTTACAAACGAATATCATTCATAGCGTTTTTGTTTTGTTCATCACAAGCAGCAGAGTAAAATAACGCAAACTTTAAAATCTAGAGTCCATTTGCTTCCTGCTAATAGGTATTCTAGAATAATCTTGACTCGTCGTAATTTTTTTAGGAAACTTCATAAAGGGAACACATTAAGTTAATTATGAAAATGTAATTTAATAACGGAGATTGACATGGTTATGCTGGCAAAGAGAATTTTACTTTTTGTTACTCGGTTGCATTGCATCGACATTTGTGATTTTAATTTTTAATATTTAAGTAATTATTTCTTATTTTGTTGACTTCACTGAACTTGCAAAGCATAAAGTAATTTTAATACAGAATCATGTAGAGAAATCTGCCTAAAAACTTCAGAATCTTGTATGTACCTACCTATATTACTTTATTATTGGTTTGCAATGCATGTAACTATATTCTCTTGGAATTTAATTTGCCTTATTTTAGTAAACGATAAATTCAAGTGACCCTCTTTATTTGACACATTGATACTCATTTAAACTGTAGGTACAACAATACTGAATTACCTCTACATAATCTACTAGCTGACCCGGCGAACTTTGTTCCGCCTTAATGGCAATAAATAAGCAGACTTTTTTTTTAATTTCGAACGGGATAAAAAGTATCCTATGTCCTTCTCCTGGCTCTAAACTACCTCCCTGACAATTTTCAGCTAAATCGGTTCAGCCGTTCTTGAGTTATAAGCGAAGTAACTAACACGACTTTCTTTTATTATATAGATATCTATAAAAGCGAAAGGTCACTGATTGACTGACTCCCTCATTACGAAATCTCAGAAACTACATGTGCTAGAAGTCTCAAATTTTGCTGAAACTGTTGATCCCGATGAAAGCTCAGAAATAGAGCTGAAAAGCTTCACAATTGTCAAGAGACGTAGCCAACTTTATACTGCCGGTCAATATTCACTGCTCCCAATAGGTAAGTGATAAGTGTATGTATTATAATAAAAATACTCATTTAATACTCATTTAGTTTTTGCAAGTAGGATTTTAAAGCTTTTACACGTCCCAAGTATGTATTAATTTAACCCTAATGTAAGTACTTGGATAGCCGTGAATTCACTGTCCATCCGAGACAAAGCATTCTTTTATTTCCAAAAAATTTAGGACCTAATTCGACACTGCTTTGCAAAGAACAAACACCTAGTGAATGATCTGTTATTGCAACGTTTGATAACTTGCAGTTGAAGCCAGCGGTAATCAGAAAACTTTATTTGTTAGATAGGTAGTTTGATTGTGTTATACATCAGATAACTATCTGAAACTTTAGCACTAACCATCGAAAATCAAATAAGTACTTACAAACCAAACAACGATAAAGTGTAGTAGCTGAACTGCTTAGCATGAATGTTACGACTGGTTGATCTTAATAACGTATGCAATTCATGAATTTTCGGGCAAAATCAAGACGCAGATAACTTAAATTGTTCCTGTTGCCAAGCTTGTTCCAAGGCCAACCGGTTCTGGCCGTGATGTCATGGATTCGATTCCAGAGCCCCGATTACGGTAACTTTTAACGTCTACAATCCAGACGCGCTTCTGATTCTGCGATACGATTGGTCAAAACAGCTGACGTACGCTGTTGAACGACCAATCGTATCGCAGAATCGAGAAGCGTGTCTGGATTGTAGACGTTAAAAGTTACCGTAATCGGGGCTCAGGGTTGACATATAAGTTTATTCCTAACATAGTTCTTGTTAGTATTAATGTGTCCGTCAACCCGTATTTGGCAAACCTGATGACAAATATGGCCGCGTATCGGCTTTGATAGCCAAATTGGAATATTACGTGCTTATCTATGAAATTATCGTGATATTGTTTGTATGTAGAATCCGAAGAGAACTCTATTTCAGCACAATCATGTTCGGTTTATAATTCAGGATACAATAGCACATTTTGTAAATTCTGAATTTATTTAGTTCTGAATTTGTAAATAACCACGTTAATCCACCACGTAATTACGTAATTTATTGTAATCTAATCTAATTAGGAACCAAATCCCGAATTTTTCTGTTGAAGAATATTTTTTTTTGGTAGTTACAAATGATCGCGGTGTACCTACTTAAATAATAATGTAAAAACTTTTTAAAACATCTTGTAGAGTTAAAACTAATATCAAGAATTATGAACATTATATTTTCATAATAAAGCTACGGTAATATGAGCAATATACAGCACTAAATAATACCTAACAACTATGTTATAACTTTTAAGTCTCTGAAATTCTGTCGACAACTTCAGAAAGCTAAGCGTGTTAGGACTTAAAGCTCATCAATGTTGATTCCATTATTAGTTGCACTTGTAAACATTAATTAATAAGATTTAACTAAAACGACGTTATGAGAATAATACTATCATGGCGGACGCGATAAGAACTGAGACTGATACTGCTGATACCTAATGTTTAATACAGATAATTGTTTTCGCAATGCTTCGGCAACACGCGGCACTTATTTCAAAATTAAAACTATACTAATCAAACCATTATTTTATAAAATAATCTGAATCTCCTAGTTCAGTTCATTCGAATTGACAAGTTTCAAAACTTTTGTAACGTTGCGGCCACGGTTGCGGCGCACTTTGGAAAAGCTCGAGCCTTTCAAGTATTTGACGACTCTACACGCCTCGTTTCAAGTTAGACTTATCATGCAGCTTGAAGAAATAAACCGAAAATTCTATATTAAAAAATACTCTTATGAATGGGCTTCGGACCGCCGTCACTACAGAAAATAGCATAGATTTTAGCGCGGAACAATAAGAAAGAACTAAAAGTTCACTTCGGATTACCTATCCAACATTTTCGCACAGCGTGTTCCCTCGGTAAGTTTTGAAATCAACGTTTGAAAGTAAATTATTATAGGCCTGAACAAGCCGCTTTTGCAACATAAACTTTCATGTTAGTTCGCTTTCGTCGGACGAGCTTCTACATTTATTTATAATGCCATGCAAACAAGACGTTAAAAATAGGCGCGGACGGATACAACAAACCGCGGAAAGTTCAACAATACTTACAGCGCGTGAGTGTCGCTGGGCACCCTCGGGACGGCGACCAGGTCTTGCTGGAGGCAGCGCACGTTGTTCCGGACGCACTTGCATTTCGGGGGACAAGGTACGGATTGGGCAAAACTTAAAGTTGAGAAGTTGAAAAGTAGTAAAAACTTAAAAAAGTATATAGGCCTCATGTTGGAATTGAGGGGGAATGGTGGAGGAGAAGTTTAAAAGTGGTTCTGGAAGTAGTGGGAAAGTTTGGTGGGTCGCGTACGGAGGTCGGAGGGCGAGCGCTCACGCCGCGTGCTGCCGACTGCGACTGGCGAGTGGCGCCGTGCGGGCCGCGCGTTGGAGTGACGGGAGCGCCGCCGAGCGCTGCTTGCGTTGCGAACGCAGCCCGCCAGATGCTCGGCCCTGCTTCCACGAAAGATAGCGCACAGCACGATTGTGACCCCTATGTCATACGGGTTAAGAGGACCACTGATATCAACGTTATTGTTAGCATTAACCAAAGAGCGTCTCATCGAGTTGATCGTGGAGTACAAACAATCGTAACTTATTAAGAATTAAGAACGCCGTCCGTTAGTAGCTTCGAAAGCTTTAAATATTCATTTTTACAAATCTCAATGGAAATGTTCCTACCTTTAAACTGAAGAAAAGTATGATTGATTGTGCTTATAATAAAAAATCTACAAAGCATCGTTCACTGCGTAGGTGAGAGAGTAATTTATAAGTTCAAAGTAAGTCAGTCACTTAGCGTTATGAGTTTCCGAACTGGGCAAAGGTCTCTTATTGAAATTCGCCTCCACGGCCGGCTCAAATCGCTACCTAAGTAGGTACAGCTAGATGACTATAAAACCATGTTGCACAAGAAAGTTAATATTAGCATCAAACCGGTATTGTGTCCAAAGCAAGTGCTCTTGGTACCCTTGTGCAGTACACGTCTACACAATATCTCCAGTCCCAGTATTGTGTGCTGTTCTTAATGTTCCTATATGCATCCTTCAATCTCAGCTACTATTGTAACAACAAATCGCGGGGAATATCTAGCAGATAACGATGCCTGACGTAGACGTCTACATTACTTGATGGGGCTATTGAAACACTCCACAGAGTAATACCCTACCTACACTAAAGGCATTAAGGTAAACGGCTACTAGTTCGTGATAGTACGTAAGTTCGTAAGTTTTTTTTCTAGCTCAAATAATAAGCAAATGGAATATTATTTATAAAAATTCTTTATTACTACAAAAACTCTATTATTTAAGCTATCTAAAAAACCAAGTACCAACATTGTGGCGCCAAAAATGAGAGCAATACGAAGCTTCAAACTCTCAGAGAGCCAAAAACAGCCGTGCGGCGTGAAAATGTTGCTCTCACCGTAAGGTTAGCGCTCCAACTTCTTAAGCTTATAGAAAGGCGAAGAAACGTCCATTTGCATAAAACTTGTAATAGTGGTTTCATGTGTTCCTTGACAATTGATTTGGCTTAGAAAAAAGTTATATGAAAACGTAGAATTCCTTTAAAATTGCGATTATTTGACTCACGAAATAGCGTACATATTATTTTTCGGGTGTCCCCTGTTTCGTGATACTACCGAATCAAGGATATTATGGATAATATTTTGATGCTTGGTTTTTAAATAATTATTTATGATAATTGAAATGTAAGTTATGAAACAAATAATACATTTATTTAAGTTTCTCATGATCTAAATTCGGTATATGTTTCGTTCACTAGAATTTATATGACACGAGTTTGAAGTTCACATAAATGACCAATTTTAAGATAAATTAGCATAAGTACTACCAGCGTAATTTTGGTTTTAATTCGATTCGTTTTATTTTTCTTGGTTTATTTGTATTTTATATGGGATAGATAATAGTTAATTGACACAATTTGACAATAATCCATGAATTTTACTTGGGGAATTTGGAATAATCAGTATCACGAAACAAGGAACCGTAATTATTCTTACTTTTTCCCAAGTTCGTGATATATAAATGTATAGTGTTAGGTACTTGTATGACACATAACATCAGACATATTTTTTAGTTTTTAATACGGTAAGTACGTAAGTAATAAATTAATTAATTTTTATTATGAGTCATTGGCGTATATGGGGCTATTTTTAGGGGGGGGGACTACCCTCACTTGAAGCAGCTCCAGGGGTGGGGGGTTAGTCCCCTCCCCTCTCATTTTTTAAACTTAGACTTGTATGAATATTTTCACATATCGTTAGAAATAAAAAATCTAAATTTTATGACTACGAAGGTTAGGGGGGGGGGTAAGGCCCCCCTACATTTCTGATGATTATATGTTGTTAGAATAATAAATCAAAACTTTATACGAAGGTACGTACCTACCTAGCTAGACAGACTCACATTATTTCTTATGAATATTTCAGGTAGGTAAGTAATGTCGTCAATTTCACAAAATTCTTTTATTCTAAATTTATACTATCGTTTTTAAATTTATTCAACCCTTAATCAATATTAAAATATCCTAACTCGATGCGTAAAACTTTATCCCGAAATAGGGGACATGAGTTCACGAACTTAGAAACAGAGCAAAATTCTATCACGAAACAGGATCCATACAAGAAGTCCGCAGAACAATTAATATTAAAAAAAGTTCAAACAATATAACTACAATTTATATATTAAGTTACTGTCAAAAGACCAAAGTTTAGCATACAAAAGCTTTCATACTGATATCATGCTTGGTTATTTTTAAATAAATTGTTAAATTCGTAAGAGCCTTAATATACCGAAGTAGGGGGCACTTACCTTAGTACTCTCAGTACCGTCTGAGAAGACCCTCAGTAAAATATTCTCTGCCCTTCAATATATTTTTGTATTGGAGGCATTGATATAAAAACATATTGAAGGGCAGTAAATAGCCAAGCCTTTTAAGTTTATAAATTCTTATATTCGTGTCCTTAGGGGAATTTGTGATGAAACTTTACCTAGTGGTCAACATATCACTATGTACTTATACCGAATTTGATATAATTTCTTTTCCGGGAAAAAGTTGAAGTCTATTATTAATTTTCTATTTTCGCTCAGTGGGTTCTGAAACCTGTTTCCGTAGCCCATAGCCCCAAGGGTCGTTTTTGAGCCGTAAAACAAGTTCTGAAAAAAAGCTACTTATAATTGTGAACAGAAAAGCAACGTGAAAATTAGAAAGAATATATTTTTCTAGATATTTTGCCTCCTATCACATAAAAAAAAAGATATTATGGGTTTGTGTAAAAATGACAGGGCTATTTTCAACGGTTCATTTAATGTTTTAAATTGTAATCTAATGAAAAATATTGTTTTAAAAATGTAGAGTCTATTGTTTTCCAAGTTCAGTTTCTGAATTGGTTGGTTAACCTGTGTAACTTGAGCTTGTACTAGGCAAAGCTAATACAAAATATTTACCTTTATCCTATACTCTTTAATCTAAGTTTTTATACAAATTAATTAGGCTTCAAAAGTTACTAAACCTAATTAGTAAATATGTATTGCGCGTTACCAGCACGAACAAAAAACGTTCACTACATAAAAATAATCTAATCATATTCTTACAAGTGCCATATACCTACCTAGTTCTCTAGATTGATGGTTTTCTGTTCAATAATTGTGTCTTAATTGTCTTACTACAAGAAGAAGCAGTTACACGTCATCCTCTGGTCTATTATAGGGTACCTACATATTAAAGGTGATTTTTGGTAAGCATACCAAAAGTTCTCGTAAATTAGTTCTAAGACGCAGTCAATATGAAGTAAGCACGTACCTACCTACCTGCGGAATTGTAAAGTAAGTTCAGTATTGTTAAGTACTCTAAAGTACCTATAAAGCTTAGTAGACCATTAAACGATTTTCGTTTGAAGTAGAAATTTGTTTGATAACGAAGCTGTGCCAATATTAATAATGACAACTAAAAGTTTCGAACTAAAACTAAAAGTTCTTAAAGTTTAAGTCACTTTACTAACTAAGTAATAGGATCCATTTTTTCGATACTAAAGATCGATCTAAAGATTTCGTAGTTAATAGGTATATTATGACCCAAAGGTTTTACAGAATATTGTCTATAGCCTGTTTCAGGTGCAATGATATGAAATTTCTAATTTTAACCTTTTAAGCTTATTTTAAGTAGCATTTTCTTGCAATACTTGTAATTAAAAGTACCCTCTTATTGCAATTTCATTCAATCGCACTTAAATCGGATTCTCTGGATCAAAGAAACGTTTACTCCGATCGCCAGGCGACGCTTCTATTCAATTCAGTACTTAAGGCGGATACACACGCCCGTAACTGGTACACTTGCATATAGTTATTGCAATTCACGAAGGCGAGTGAGCTATACATGTGTGGTGGCTCGCTACTGTTCGTTTTTCAAAAGTTTTGATAGACATTACCAACATTACACTATCGTTATGTGCATGTACACGTCATACACAAGTAAAGCTCACGCGCATTCGTGAGTTGCAAGAACTATACCACTTTCTTGCACGTGCCATGTGTATACGCTAACTGGCATATGTGCCTGTATCTGACAAGCGAGTTATGATTTTCAATTTTTTACATGCAAAGACACTTTCATGCTAGTTTATACACATTGTAGGTATTTGCCGCTAAAAAGTATGCAAGCTACCGTTCCGTTTTATACCTACACTTGCATTTCAGAAAATTTCAGTTCCTTGCATGTGCCACTAATGTCATGTGTAGCATTGCCTCTATCTGGCAAGCGAGTAGATTGCACAACCACAGAATAATTAATTGGCACAACATTCGTTTTTTTTTAAGTTGAATACACAGGCATGCAATGATATAAATTGCATTCAGTTCATCCTCATAGCATCAGTTACTTGCAAATGCCATTAACCAGCATGCAACCTACTGGTCCATTTTACAGGCAAGTGTATCGCCGCCTTTATGCTAGTGTATCGCGATTAACAAGGTAAGTTCGTTTAATTGTTAATAACTCGTGTTTCCAATAAAGAGATAAGTGAGTAGTGCTACACTAGCCTGTATTATTGCGTTCTTATTACAGGAATCGCTAGTTCGTACATCTTGTAAAGTACCAATAACCAATTAATATATATATAAGTGGTATTGTACCGATATGGCTCTCAATATGGGCTGAAAAATTAAGGACTTCAATTTAGAGTCGCAAGAATATTTTTTTTATTGTTTGTCTGTAATGAATTCGAAAATTACAAAGTTCTTTTTTTTTCATATTTCAGATTAGGTATGGGGGTTAGGTAGATTATATTTCGATAGTAAGCTTTATTAAAGTGCAGAAGTATAAATGAGAAATTGAAATAAGTAATTACCAAACTTAGGTGTAATCGTAC